TCTCTCTCTCTCTCTCTCTCTCTCTCTCTCTCTCTCTCTCTCTCTCTCTCTCTCTCTTTCTCTCTTGCTCCCTCCCTCCCTCCCTCCCTCTCTTCCTTTCTCTCTCTCATACACACACAGGCACAGGGGGATTGGGGGGAGACACCCCCCACAAAGGAAGTTGAGAAGGATTTTTTTCAGGACACAGAACTGGATGTCAGTGGCTAAAAGGTCGATATTTTCCCTTAACACCCTTCTCAATGACTTAATCATGTTCCGTTTGCACAGAAAACTTCCCAAGAATAAAGTCTGGAGAATTAAGAGAATGGGTAAATGGGAAGGGATGTTTGGCCTGCAGCTGACCTTATCCGAGGTTTTCTCCACGTAGCAGGGGTCCTGAGGGGCAGCCAACAAGGGGACAAAGCCAGAGAGAAGCCGATCCTCTTCCAGGATAAGCAGGGTGAGGTCATCATCCGGGTCCTTGTACAGTGGCACCTCAGACTGATTCACTGCAGTCAGTATGTTACAAAAATCAGCTAGTGTTGACCACACATCCACAGCAACCCTGTAAGAAACAAGATAAGAAAAGAATGGCTCTAGAGAGATCAGTGAAAGTGTTCTTCATGCTTTGGGAACAGAAAGGTACTTGCAACAAAAGCTGTAAGGCTGGCTGGCAGCTGTCAAGAAATATTACCAAAAATGCAATAAGAAGTTGTGCACATAGCCACCATCTGAGGTATGTATACTGCTTTATATAAAGGTGAAACTGATCATGGGACTTTTAATCCTAACCAGAGAGGACAAAAAAGAATTTTGAGGACCAGTTGCTTAATGCTGGTCCTGTCACCTTTCCAGACAGTATGAGGAGACACTTCAAATCAATCTCGATACCCAGTGCCTAAAGCAGCTCTCAGAAGTCCCAGCTCTTGCATAGTCAAGTATATGCCACACAGACAGAAACTGGGCACTAACCTCTCTCCCTCAGGTATAACCACACAGGGAGTAGTCACACTGTGTAGTCAAGTAGGCTTCCTTATTAGAAATACTTTATAAATTAATTCTCTATATGTAAGCAGTAAAATGAATACATGTCCAAGAAAATCCCCCTTCCTGTCCTGCCAAAGTCTGCTCTGGAAGGGAAAGCTTCTTGCTCACTTCAATGCTATCTTGGCTGTCCCATGCCTTCTTCCTTCTCTCACTTGTACATTAGACACAGGATGACTAACCATCCTGGGACTGTCCAAGTTTTAACACTAAAATTTTCACATCTCTTAAGTCCGCTAGTCTGACACAAATCAGGATGCTTGGTCACCCCAGTCCCACATAATCATGTTTTGGTTGAACCTGAGAAAAAAAACACTACAAGATCTCTCTCTCTCTCTCAAAACTCTAAGGTAGAATAATAGAAAGAAGGTTCATTTAGTTCAGACTATCACCTACTGTGGCTCAGATTGTTTGGTGGGTGCTAAACATCTCTAAAACTTTGCCTGCCTAGGTAAATCTCAATTGTAGTTGTATACAATGCCTGCCAAGTTTACACACTTGATTTTCTCCTCCAGAAAAGCTTCTAACCCAGGAGACTGGAGTAGGAGGTACCTACCCTCTACTAGATGCTAAGATGTTAGAAATAGTATAAAAAACAAAACAACAACAACAACAACAACAACAACAACGTCACAGGAGAGATGGAGTACGAAGAGGCACTATGCCAAGAAGTTCTAAGAGTTCCCTGCAATCTGTCCATGAGCCTACAGGGTAGGGTGAGATCTAAGCCATTCAACCTCCAACTCCCATTCCAAGATGACAGGAAAGAGGGCATTTCAGGAACTGCCACTGAGAGTGAAGCTGGGGGGACACTAGGGAGAGGGATAGGGACTCCCTCACCAGCTCCAGGTGGAAGGAAGGCTGAGGTGGTTTATTTACTGAAATCACTACACTAGGAAAAGGCAATGAAATGAAACATCTTGTTTTCAAGAGCGTCCTGGGAACCAGGCGGAACACAGTCCCATTAATCACACAACGGCACATAATCGACACACGTGTATTGCAGAACCAAGTTACTTCCCAGGCTTTGCCTAGCAAGAACACTTTTGAGAAGAATCACCAGAGGGATGCAAGTTTTCTAAGCCCTCTGCATGGACACCAACAAGCAGACTCATTCACAAAGCTCCATCTTTTGGCTCAGCTGAGTTTGGCTGTCAGAAATGTTTAAATATGGAAAAAAATAAACAGTTGCAACACGTTTCTGTGCAGAAATCTGCCTGGGCTCCTCTGTGATGTAATGGGAAACGCGGCACTCAGGCTACCAGCTGTAGAATAAACAGAACTTTGAGGGTTAAAAGGAACTGAACTTTCCACGACCCCATCTGCAGAGAAGAAAATAATAAGAGGAATGATGCACTGCCCCACAGCTCTGATAGTTTATCCTCCGGTCCGGCTGCAGAGACAAGCACCGGATGTGATAGGGCTGCTCAGGGCTGCCTCTGAGGTTAGTGCTGCCCATGGGAGACACACAGAGAGGCTCTTCCAGTTCCCTGCTTCCTCCCCCAGTGCCCTGCTGGCCACTTGAGCCCACTGCCTGAGTCTGATCCCACAGCGTGGTGAGCTTTGGCCAACAGGCACTGCTTGGCTGCAGAGCAGCAATTTGGAAAATAAACAGGAAAAACGCCAGTGAGAAGGAAGAAGGTGAAAAGTCTCCCATCTGAATTCTTGGCTTGGAGGTCATGGTTGGTGCTAAACAGGTCAAGGCTGCTTGAGGACATAGTTAGGGATGAGGGTGTGGGCAGCAGTATCCCCAGCCAGAGAGAGGCGGCAGAGAATCACCCACAGTTTCCTCAGTGGGAGGCCCTCCATCCCTCTCATCCTCCCACCCTTACCATCTTGGATCCAAGAAGAAGAAATATGTGGTACCATGTGGTTCTCATTACCATGCTCTCCTGTCCCCTAAGGCCCAGAGAAACCAAACCGACTCCTCCCAGAGACTGCTGATCATCACTAGGGACTCCTGCCCACCTCTATCTTTCGCCCATTACCACCCACCTTGTGCCAAAACCTTATGACACACTGCAGTGATAAGGTAGATGAAAGTTCTTACCCTGCTGATTTTGTAAGACAGCAGCTGGGGCCAAAAGACATAGGAAGTGCCCTGAGTTCCCAAGTCAGAAATATAAATAAAAGCAGTCCAAGGGTCAAGTTAGACTGATCAGAATCAAGGAGATATAAAAACTACTTCAACAAAAAGTCACTCCTGCAGTCAGGTCAGCCTGATCTTGTTGGTACCCATGGGCCAACCTGTGACAAAAGTGTGGGAAATAAGAATCAACAAACTACCACCACCACCACCACCACCAAGAAGGAGAGGTTCTCCAACAACAACAACAACAACAACAACAACAAGAAGGAGAGGTTCTCTAAAACCCAGGTGAGAGGCCCGAACTGAAAAGCTAATACCTGCAGGAGGATATTGTTTCTGGAAGCTTATGGCCAACTGTGCCAAAGGGTTGAGAGGTCAATTCCATGGGTGAACAGTTTCCTGTCTAAGTAGAAGGGGGACATCTTACTCTTTTTTCCTCATGTTTCTTTCTTATCCCAACAAGAAGTGCCATTTAACCTTCATCTCACAGCAGCCCTTGGACACTAAGGAGTCAAGGCTGGTGGAAGGGTACAAAGTAAACTCCTTATGGCTATGAAGGGCTTGAAGATACTTGAGAACATGTGGGGTTCAGCCACGCCGCTCTGCCACCCATTCCTAACCAGCTTTTTGCTGAGGAGATTGAAGGTTATAGGTGAGTAGGACGGTGTGAAGGTGGGTGTGAAGACTTTCACTCTGTAGTCCAGGCTGGCTTGGAACTCACCATGTAGCCCTGACTGGCTTCAAAGCCTCAGTGATCCTGATCGCTGGGATCACAGGTATATGGTCCTATGCTTGGCTCAGATAAATCCTTCTGGCTTCTTCTGGTTCAACTTGTATTTGGGGGGATGTACCAGAGCCTACAAAATCCCACTAAAGTTAGGGTACACTCTTCACCAAGCAGACACAAACCAGCCAGAGAATATGAAACTGTGTTCAATAAACTCATTTATGGCTCCCAGAATGGCGGCAGTGGAGTCTCTCAGAAGCTGGGGTGCAATTTGTGTTCAGGGATCAGCAGTTGCAAAGTGACCCACTAGCCCAATGCCAAAGAACGCACCATACACGAGGAAAGCAGATCCCTGGCTGTAGCCTGAATGCCAGATCCTAGCCTGAAACAGACCAGCAATGACTAGTTAGAGGTATGCACTCAGTACCAAGGTTCACTACAGACATGCATTCACTTACTCCACCAGAAAGGGGGGTGGGGGAAGAGTTAATTTACTTTTTATTGCCTCAGAATTCCAAGGTTTAATGTAGCTGTCAGTTTGAGTGCAGTGCAGCTGCTGGCCGATACAATGCAGCCCAGGCCAGCCCAGGTGACTGGGGAAACACATTTCACAGAAATGAACCAACACACACTCTTGGCTGGTTGTTTGGAGGATATTGACTTGGGGAATCAGATTAACCCTTCAGGCTGGGGTTAGTTCTGCAAATAGCATTAGAGACCTCTTCGGCCCAGGGAACTGAGATGGTTGCTCTCAGGTGAGCCCACAGTTTTTTGTGTGTCTATAGTTCTCACAGGCGATGCTATACAACTATGTGCCTTGCAAGACAGAGGTGTGGAACATATGAGGCATGGTATACCACGGCCATCATCTCCTTGTCTGAAATGCAGGAAGAAAGTTAGGTCTGCTATCGGCCAGGGAAAGTCAGGGAAAGTCTGGGAAAGTAGGACTGTTCCCAGAGCTCCAACAGACAGGACTAAGGAAGGGCAACAGGTTGAAATGGTCTGACCAGGGCTCAGTCTGTCTTTCTAGAAAGACCAAGGAAGACTAAGCATTCACACAGTTCTTCATATTTTTACTGGGGGAATAGGCTGACTGGTGATTAATATCAAGTACAATGACCCCATGTTACAAGCCTGCGGGGGCCTGTGGAGGTGGCCATTTCCTGTGTAATACCAGCTTGTTTAAACACTAACATTCAAACTCCACAGCTGCAGAACAAACCCGGAAAGAGCTGAGTGAGAAGAAGCCCTGCATTGTGTTTCAGAGCTATGGAAGATCAGAGAGGTAGTACAGATGGGAAACAAGTTGGGTTTTGGGTTCCTGGGGTGAAGAAATCTGGAAACAGCCAAGGTGGTACAGAAAGAAGGTACAAGGAAACTAAAAGTCCACTGAGTACAAATTCACAGGAGAGGCAAAAAACTATCAAGCAAATGCTCAAAGGCATACATTATCTGCTTTAAGAAATGTATTTCCCTTTGGGAGCCCAACTCTCTGGATCAACAGACAACATTAAGTTCCTGGTTGCCCTGGAACACTTCTTACGTAACTGCAAAAAGAAAAAAAAAATGGCAGCGTATAAGCAGCTAGTTGCAGAAATGGATCTAAACCTAACAAGTCTAGTGGTGCTATAAGAATACTATTTGGGCATAAGATGTTAGTAAGTTCTGTCAAAAGCCTGTTTGCATTGGGATGAGTGCACAGTTC